AGAGAGAGAGAGAGAGAGAGAGAGAGAGAGAGAGAGAGAGAAAGAGAGAGAGATAGAGAGAGAGAGAGAGAGAGCTGGCATATTCTTTCTATTATGTTATTTGCTGTCATTTTGATGTCCATCATGATGGCGGATTGGTTTTCAGTTTCTGGGACTCACTGACAAAAAACCTCAACTGACGGTTTCTCAAGCTTCAATATTCTTGTTGACATCATCTTTGTGTCGCTGACAATGGTTTTGCGTTGTGTGGATGTGCTTGTGATGGCATCATTCCCGTTGGTTCGCATGTATATCACCAAATGAGAAGGGGAAAACTTGCCTGCTGCTGCATAAAGGCAAAGTAAACCCTCAGCAATCATCGACGAAGACTTTTCACAGAGGTGCATATATGCTACGGCCCCGTGGCAAGTCCTCCGCTTGCGCATTTAGCTTCCCCCAGAGCAGCTCTGCTTCTTCGGTCCCGCCCATCTGGATGAAACGTAAGCCAAAGCGAATGCGTAAACTTGCCGACCTTCACTCTTTGGCCATCTTGTCGCCCACAAGCTTGGTAGGAGGAGGAGGAGGAGGAGGAGGAGGAGGAGGAGGAGACTGGCAAGAGCTAACTTCTAGTGCCTGTAAGTCGCGGGCGTGGCAAAAGCTACATAAGAGGAGGACAGAGCGACTAGTGAAGATGAACGACAAACCGAAAGGGTCCGTGGAGGTAATTCGCCCGACCTCCAAGAGACCCAACAAGCTCGAGGCAACTGACGTAAACGAGTTGGTCGAGAATTTCACGAGGAGGGTGATGGCGAAGCGAATGAAAGTGAAACAACGACATACGACCGCTGTCACGGTGGCAACACCACCTTCCATGCCACGTGGCAGGAAGAATGGATCCAAAGCCTCGGAGGTCAAGCAGTCGCCAAGCACATCGGAAGAAGCACAACCGGAGAAAACAGAAGGAACAGAAGGATCTGGTACTCCACGGAGGACTACGAGGAAGTCAGAGCAGGGGAAAGGCGAAGGCGTACCCATTTGGGAGAGAGGACACGATCAGAGCACTTCGAGTGCACTCAAAGAGAAAAGCAAGCAGGCAGAAGGATCGGATTTGATGCCGAGAATCCGCCGGAGGAAGCTCGTTCACAAAAAGGGTGAATCGTCAAGGTTGAGGGAAGGCGGCAGTGTGACCATGGCAAGTGACAATATGGATCGATTGGCGGCATTGGAGGAAGGAGCAGCGGTTTCAGACGTGTTCGGTGAGATGGCACGAACAAAGAAGAAGAGGAGAAAGGGTGAGGGTGAACCTGTCCTGAAGGAGGGGCGTGTTGCATGTGACAATGAGAATGTGTCCAGTCCGTTCTCATTGTCCAGTCCGTCTAAGGAAGAAGAGAAACCAGATCAATCTGGTGCTTTAATTCTGGGAAGCCAGCAGAAGTTTGTGCACCCTGAGGAGGAGGAAGAGGAGGAGGAGGAGGAGGAGGAGGAGGAGCCTGTGTTGAAGAACGGAGGTGCAAAGTGTGGGGATAAGGCAGCCTCCACGCCGGCGAGGGAGACTCATGACGGGGGCATGACATCACCAGATCAATCTGGTGCTATACTTCTAGGAAGTCAGCAGGAGTTTGTGCACCCTGACAAGGAGGAGGAGGAGGAGGAGACTGTGATGAAGAATGGAGGTGCAAAGTGCGATGATAAGGCAGCCTCCAGGCCTGAGAGGGAGACTCGGGAGGGGGGGATGACATCACCAGATCAATTTGGTGCTACACGTCTAGGAAGTCAGCGGAAGTTGGTGTACCCTGAGGAGGAGGAGGAGGAGGAGGAGAAGGATGAGGAGGAGGAGGAGGAGCCTATGTTGAAGAATGGAGATGCAACGTGCGAGGATAAGGCAGCCTCCAGGCCTGAGAGGGTGACTCAGGAGGGGCGGGGGACATCGGAGTCCGGGGCAAAAGACATGCAAGCTTTGGAGTTAGAGTATACGCAGCCTCAAAGCCATCGAACTTGGTCCGGGTTCAAACAACCAGAAGCCTTAGGGTGCAACTCACTTTCCGATAAAACAGATATGTTCGGAGGGGTCCATGTCAAGGACAGATTATCAACTCACGGCAGCACCCTCCTGAAGGGCCTGACATCAGAAATGCCAGGGGGTTCGAAGACCCCTGCACGTCCTACTGCTGAAGTAGCTGCTTCATCGGAGGATATGTGTGCAAAGACTGCTAACAGTGCTAGTAAGAGTAAAGAAGCTGGGAATGAACTGTGCTCCGTAGCGATCCGCCATCGGAATAGCCCTCCTGGTGACCGTACGGATGACATGGAAAAAGCCTCCGCCACAGGAGGGTTAACACCGAGCCATGACGACCCCAGTGGGTGTGGGCCGCGTAGTTTGTTGCAGATCAGCAATGGCGAGGACTATCGATCCTCTTCTCAAGTGGCAACCTTAGACCAGAGCGTCGAGCAGTTCGCTGCAGATCGACAACGGCCACGATTCTCGAGCTTCGAACAAGAGGAGGAGGTGCTTGTGGAAGAAGGTGGGACACCTCTTCTGTCAGAAAGATCCCGCAACGACAGCAGCTGCCCTCATTTGCTGTGTCTTACTAGCACCTTGCCAGTGTGCTCTGCGGGGACGGGAAGAGGAAAGTTTAACGTGCACCAGAGCGAACAGGCGGCTGAGGGGCGCATTGTGCGTGCTTCATCATGGGTTGGAAAGAGGAAGAGGGTGGAAAGTGCTGTGCACCATCAGCAGCGGAAGCTCCTCTGCGTTGTAAAGAATGGTGACGGCAGTAACCGCATTCCTCGTGACAAAAAGAGACCAGCCATGCCATCAGGGGTGACAGCTCTCAAGGTGCATGCAGGACATCAAGGGAATGTAGCTACGGCGGAAGATCCAGCATGCTTGAGCGCCTCCGATGCACAACTGAATTGTGGTGATGGCCGTAGCACTGCCCGGGATGCACAGGTGTGCGGCGGAAACATGGCAGCGAACAGGGCAGGCCAGAGCAGCAACAACCTCGACTACTTCGACAGGTATGCGCCTGGAAGTCTTGCCTTGCACTCCAGCCTAGCCGCAGCAAGCCGCGCCGTGGAAGAGAGCAGGACCATGGTTCGGGCTAAGCAGCAGCAGCAGCCTATTCCATCACATGAAGAGAGTAGTGAGGAAGAGGACGGGCGGAAGGATGCGACAGGGAGCGTTGTTCTGGAACCAATTCGGAGAGCTGTTCAGGTGCAGCAAGGGAGAAGGCCTCCTGACCCTCATGGAGAGAGCAGGACCATGGCTCGGGCTAAGCAGCAGCAGCAGCCTATTACATCACATGAAGAGAGTAGTGAGGAAGAGGACGGGCGGAAGGATGCGACAGGGAGCGTTGTTCTGGAACCAATTAGGAGAGCTGTTCAGGTGCAGCAAGGGAGAAGGCCTCCTGACCCTCATGAAATGAGGAGGCATCAAGAACCCGGAGAACATCGTACTGAGAGAGAGAAACGGACAAACGGTGTTGGTAAGGCGACCATATGCATTGAACAAGAGCCAGGAGAGGAGAAGGGAGACATGTCAGTGTTACCCAGATGCTCATCACCTGGCTCCCTTCTGGTAGAAGGAAAGGAGACGATAAGACACCGTGCACCTTTACTAATGAGAAATGGGCATTGTGCCAGCCTGAAGCATGACCGTAGGGTGGCAGGAAGAGAGGCGAGAGAAGGAGGCTCCGAGAGTGCAGTTCTCAACATAACTGCGGAGCTAAGAGGAACGGATGGGAGTCGAATCGGTCGACCAAGTGTGAATGGCGTCGCTCCGCTTCTCGCTGTACATATAAGCGAGAACGGAACTTTGGGTCGAATCTCCGGTTCGAGCGTGAGAGAAGCACCAGCTGCAGAGGATTGTCCGGCCTCGATAAAGAAGGGCAACAGGCTTCATGACATATGTGATGAAGCGGCTCACACAGGAGCTGTGCAGGCAGGAGCACCCTCAGGAAAAGCGTGTGATGAAAGCTATCGACATCGACGAGATGCGCAAAATGAATTACGACAGTCGGATAAGAAGGAAGAGGATACTGCTGTTGGGGGTTCCCCTTGTCCTTTGCTGAGGAACTCCATGGCAATGCACACTACCAGTACAGCTGATGATGACCCCCACAATCGACGCCTCGTTCCCAGTGACAGAGGTTGCAGTGGCAGTGGCATTCTTCCATCGAGTGCGTGCGAAAGTGATCCCTTCAGGAATAGGAAGCCGGCAATCGACGCCTCAGTCCCGTTGGCGGAAAGGTCCAACGGCCGGCGGGAAACTGTTGACTGCAGGGATGGTTCTGAAAAGGAGACGAGCTCAGCGATGGAGAAGACAAGGAAAATGGGAATGCCACAGCGGAGGTCAACCAGAGTACGGAAAAGTACTGACACAGCCAAATGTGATGGTATCTGGTACGCAGGGGAGATGACGCTCAAAGCATTTGAGCGCCGACGCATCGTGAAAAAGAAGCCTGTTAGAGCGACCAGATCGCTACAAGGTGAAGGAAACCGTAAAGATCCTTGCCAACGGGGTAACGAGCCGACATCCACAGCACCGAATCTGAGTCCTCGAGTGAGAAGTCAGGGCGACTGCAACAAGGCTTTGCAGCTGCGGCACAGAGCGTCCTTCAATGGCCGTCACTGGAGCTCTTCCGAAACTTTATCCCAAAACCAGGAGGGAGAGCTGAAAAAGACCTCCTCTTCGGCCGACAAGGACTCAGACTCAGAGAGGACACATGGATATGAGCAAAATGAAGATGGGTGTACACAGGAGGACAATGGTAAGCCTCCAAAGGAGGAGGAGGAGGAGGAGGAGGAGGAGGACGAGGAGGAGGAGGAGGAAGAAATAATGACGACGACAAGACATCCAGAGCTGCACCTGCTTCTGAACGCGCGTCGCCAGTTTGGGCAGGTTTTGCAATCCCTGGAAAATGAGCGTGTATGCAGTGATCTGAATGCGTTTGGCACATCAACACGGTCGAGGGGTCAAGAAGGGGGTGATGGGGGGCAGATGCTTGAAAAGAAGCATATTACGTTCAAAGCGAGTGGACGGATTGGCAGGAGATCCGCGCGCAGGAAGAGCCATCTCTGCCCGCACTGTTGTCAGATCTACAACTGCGAACCTCGCACGTTCCAGTGCCATGCCAAGCTCTGCTACTTAGAGCAATCTGCGATCAGAGCAAAACCAGCAAGGCAATGCGATAGGAGCAACGTCGCCAGAAATAGGCGCAAAGGAATAGCTAAACGACTGCCCGCAGCAGGAAATAGTAGTCATATGGATGGCTCAACTGGGCGAAAGGCGTTGCAAGAGCCATGGAGAGTAGTTCCAATGACGGACGACCATGTGATCGGCGTCCATGTCCCGCCGCTGTGTGCCGATTTCAATATGTGGGCGACGAATGACCCCGAGAATCGAAGACATAGCTTATCTGGGTTACATAGGTTGACTGCACTCGCGAGTGTCGTGGAGGGCATCACTCAGCAGGAGGACACAGCTATCGGCTCGCTGCTCAGCTTCTGACACAGACCTACTTTCGTCATGCAGATGCCTCTCTCCGATGTAAACCGATTCTGGCGTAAACCGATTTCTGATGAAAACCGATTACAACAGCTCGTTGTCGAGGAGCACTAGAGATTCAGCAAGCAGCCTCTACTCATTCAGGGTATTTCAACAACACCATCATGTCATGTCTGATAACATACTCATCATCAGAATGGTTATGTTACTGGCGTCAAGCATGGACGGCTGGGAGGGTGAGGCATTCTTCAGTGAGCGCAGAAACGAGCACTGGTATTCTAGCCTGCTAAACATCTGATGGAGGATCGTGGTGACTATGTTCGACGTACATTTTCCTATTCTGGAAAAGAGAGACCAGTCCTCTTACCGCCTTACAGTACCTCCATCAGATGGAGGGTAGCACTCAGCAGGAGGAAGCAGCTATCGGCTCTCTGCTCAGCTTCTGACGCAGACATACTCTCGTCTTGCAGATGACTCTCTCCGATATGAACCGACTACAACAGCTTCTGATGTAAACCGATTGCAACAGCTTGTTGTCGAGTAGCACAAGAGATCAGCAGCAGCCGCTACTCGTCGAAGAAAGAGTTTCAACAAGACCTTCGTGTCTGAGAAGATACTCGCCGGTAGAATGGTTATGTTCTTGGCGTCGAGCATGGACGGCTAGGAAGGCGAGGCCTTCTACAGTGAACGCAGAAAAACAAACACTGTTGTACTTTTTTTATCTCCCGAGGCGCAAGAGCCTCCTGTTGCTTGATTTGACCAAGTGCTTTTCCACGCGCATTTTTTTTATTTTTATTTTTTACCTCCACGCACATTTTGGCAACGCTACCCTCGGTTGATTTACTTCATAATAAATACAGGACGGAGACCAGACGCCCACTTCTTTGCGTCTTGCTTTCATGTCCAGCATGTCTTGCTGCACTTCGTGCCTGCCTTCGGTCGGCGTCCGATATCGATGAAATACGCCTTACACGGCTCACCATTAAGCATGCCCAAATAGCCACACACAGGCTCTCTGGAAAAAGGAGAAACCACATGACGGATAATACCAAATCCAGGAAGAATTAAAATCTGGCCTCGCCCTCCTAGCTGTCCATGCTCGACGCCAAGAACATAACCATTCTAACGACAAGTATCTTCTCAGACACGAACTTCAAGGTCTTGTTGAAAAAATCCTTCAATGTGCGAATTGAGACTGAATGTTACACTAGATACACGTCGGCCATTTTTTTGGTCGTTTGTGCATGTTGAGAGTAGTGTCTGATCAAGTGTAGTATCTGTTCTGATCAGTTTAATAAAATAAAATATAAAAAATAAAAAAGAGAGTAGTGTCTGATAAACATCTGACAGAGAATCGTGGCGACTACAACCGGCATACGTACGTACTACGTACTTTTCCTATTCTGGAAAAAGGACCTAAGGCTCATAGTAAGACTCTGATGACATGTGGACAAGAGAACAGGTCGTCGACGAGAAATGATGAAGCGGAAGTGGGTAATGAAATGCTAGGCTCGCAGTCTTCGTCTTCACAAGCTTGTCTGCAGCAACGACAACCGAGGTCCCCATGGAGATCTGTCCCATCTTGCTCACTGCCCTCCACACCCATCCCCAACATCAGAGTAGCAATACCAATCAGAGAAGAGCAGGAAGGCGAGTGCGTTGGAGGGAGGTGGTTGCTCTCTTGCTCCTAAGATACCTACCATCTCTCCTCCCTGCTCTTCTGCTTATCCATCTCCCCTACCACCCGCTCTCCATGTCACATCCGATATCCGGCCTGCTTGCTGCAGGTTTCGGAAAAAAAAAAAAAAAAAAAAAAAAAAAAAAAAAAAGGGAAACAGCACGTTATGGGGAGAGGTTAGGCATGGCAGACTCAGGCAGAGTGAGAAGAAAAGAAAAAAGATGGCAGAGTTACCAACCATCTCTCTCTCTCTTCTCCACACGGAAGTCCCGAAGCTTTTAGACTCCTATCAATGTCACTGAATGCTCAGTAGCATCATCAAATCAAATGCAGCTGCATTACGCACAGAAGGCCCCATCACCCCCCTTCCCCCTCTTCCCCCTCCTCTCCCCCCCCACCCACACCCACACCCCACCCCACTCAATAGGCGGGCTCACCGTGTCTCTTCTGCACATGGAAGGCGAGCTTTTCGGTTGTTTTTTTTTTTAATTACCATTTTGCTTTTCCAATGCAAGGCATGTTAACTTTGCGGTTTCGATCACCTCACCTATCATCTCCCCGGTCATTCTGGAGCGCTGGACACGCTAAAGTACGGTCGGGTGAGCAATGTAGCAGTATCTTTTTTTTTTTTTTTTTTCCCTCTCTCTGCAGTAGAGTAGCAGCCCCCAATAGTATTGTAACAATTCTATTCATCAATTTCATCTCTTTTTTAAAGTTTTTAAGAACTTTTTTATTTTATATGTCTAGGTATTGTGTTCATCTGATTCCATGAGGATTCAAACTCATGATCTGTTATTTAACTTTATTACCACCGGTTGTATCTGTATACCATCCATCCCATTCATCCACATGGAGTGGCCCAAGTGGGTATCTTAGCATTTTTTTTTTTGTTTTCGACTTACGCGTGTCATCCGTGCGCAGGGGCCATGCTAATCTTCTCTCTCTGTATCATTCCAATTTTAACGGAGCTCCCCAAGGACTCTTAGAACTAGCTGTGTGTTTGTTGTTATGCCTTTGCAGATATTGGAGTAAAGTGTGAGTCTGTGTGACCAGGCCATCTGCTGTCACTTTTTTTTTCTCTTTTTTTTTTTAACTTCATCTGGAAAAAGTTCCAAAAATATCTCATGAATTCAAAACACTCAGATAATCAGATTATAATAACTGTAAAGAATCTGAAGATTTTTTATTTATTTATTTATTTATTTATTTATTTATTTATTTATTTATTTATTTATTTATTTATTTATTTATTTATTTATTTATTTATTTATATATACAAAGCAGGGGCCCTTCTGAAGATTCTGAACCCACAACTCATCTTTT